AAAAACCTTTTTTATTTATCCTTTTAACTTGGTCCTCATTATCATCTGAATTTGAAGTTGATGCTCATTGGACGATCAGTTCATGAGGAAGTTGACAGATTTGTTGAAGTTGATGCTCATTGGACGATCAGTTCATCATTATCATCTGAATTAGTTTAGGCTTGTAACCTTGTACGTAGCATGTCTCAGAGATATTTTTCTTTCAGTTAATAAGAAAACGTTGTGAATTCTCAAATATATAACCACCAAAGGTGATTGTACGAATAAGTGTCGTGTCGATATAATTACGTTTCTGAACGTTTGATGGATTTGACCCCTGAGTTTTATGTCCACACAACTCTTTTCTATATGAAAACTTAATTGATTTTGATTTAAATTGAATTGCAAATTTAAAAATAATATGAAAGAAAGAGAAAACTATATCATGAAATATGAAAACTTAGAGCATCCGCATTGGTTATATTTTGTAGGTGTCTTTAAATATAAAATTATTAAAAGTTGAGTAAAAGGAAGAAATAGAGTGTTTTTGGTTGAAATAATGGGGTGTATTGAAATATAAAATTAATAAAATTTGAGTAAAGAGATGAGATAGTGGGTATTATTGGAGAGAGGATGTCTTTTGGGATGTATGGGAAGACAAAGTTGGAGAGAGAATGGATGAAAATTGGAGTCTGTTTAAATATAAAATTAATAAAAATTGAGTAAAATGATGAAAGAGAAGGTATAAAGTTGAGTAAAAGGAAGAGAGAGTGTGTTTTTAATATTTTTTTATTTAGAGACATCTTTATTTTATGTGCAATGTGGATGGTCTTACAGTGTTTTTACTCACGTTTGACTAGTTAGTTCCCACTTCCCACATCTTCGTGATATTTATATATACGTGATGTATTCAGGCAAATATCTTTGAACAAAAGAAAAAAAATTACGCAGAAAATAAAATGTATAACTAGAAAGCAAACTCAAGGGAATGTTTTACTGCAAGAGTCTATGTTCCAGGATTTAGCGTAGAGAGTAGAGACATGCACACAAAGAAGTCCTTTCCTAGTATAGATTATAATTAAGTATATTAATTACGTGGAAGAGATGAGAATGAGCAAAGCATTTAAGTGAAGTTGAAGCATCCAAGTTTACAAAGGGTCCATTAACGAAAGAAGCAAAGCAAACCAAAAGAGTTGGCTAAAAATAAACTTATACTTATAGAAACGAAGTGGGTGATTCTAGTGGGTCGCACCAACTCATTGCGTTTTATTTTATTTTAAAATTCATTAGAGACTAGAAAGTGTGAAACATTTATCATATTTGTATATATATATACCGTTCAACTAATGAACCTTTTTTTTTTTGTAAAACTAGAGTTGTAGTATCATTTGCAATGTAATTGCCTTTAATTAACACCTAGTAATTAGATCATTCTTTAAGTTGGGAGCAAAAATGCCGCATTCGGGCTCATAATCTCTTTTCAACAGGAATAAAACATTTTAGTTAGTCATCTTCCTCTAGCCAGTAACTCGGTCGCGATCTTTAAAAAAAATGTTGTATTTTCACGAAGGTACTCTTAAGAGGATCATTCAAATATGGATTGATAAGTTACGAGAATGAAATGTCTTCAAACTTTGTTGATATTCAAAGTTAACGAGAATTAATTTATCATTTGATTTTAGTAATCTTGGGGATTCCGTAGCTAGCGACATTTTAATTTTCTTGATTTTGAATAAAGTTAGTAAAGCCGCTATTTCTCGAAGATATAAATCAGCGAAAACCCTCTAAATTATGTATACATTTATAATCGCTCTTATTTATATATACTGAACAATTTTTTTGTCTCAACGTCACTAAAAGCAATGTTGGCATTAGTCTCTCCACATCTTTAGGTCCCAAACCACTCTTATTTACATCTATTTTTTGTCGCTTTCTTTTGTCGAAAGCGTCTATAGTTCTAACATCATTTGGAGTTACGAACAAAGACATGTAATTCAATTCATTTTCTTTATAATGATTGGTTCAACTATTTTTAAAATATACATATATAGATAATCAACGAAAGTTTAAATTGATCAAGGACAAAAGAGTCCATTTCTTAAGTAATTTATAAAAGTTTTGAAGTGTCGGCCATTTGATTGTGGAAGAGGAAAAGGAATTAAAAAGGGAAGGGTCGATTAAAAAGGAGAGTGACAACTTTCCAACCCCAAAATTGTTTGCTTTGCTTTCTTCCAACTCTATTTGTCCGTTTCCTCTATCTCCCTTGGAATCTGTGATTCTCTTGCTGCTTCCCTTCACATTTATAATCTCTTCTACATGAAATTACCTAATATATATGTGAAAGAACCATAAATTGAGGATATGTAATTTTCTTCGGAATTTGTGTTGATATAAGGAACATTATAATGAGTATTGCATTAAATTGCCAAATTTTGGAAGTTTATTTGCAAAGGACCACAATTTCATCATTGTTTTTGGAAAAAAATATATGTAAACCAATATAACATTTGGAGTAAAATTGTAGTTTTATAGTTAAAGTCTTGTGTGTATCAAAC